ATGATTGGTTCAGAGAGATAACCAATCAGATGGTAGAGGTTGTGGGTCCAACCAACTAGAAGAGCCAGGGCCAACTAATCCGATGTCTTAGTCCCTCCTCCTCTGGTTGCTTGGACCCACCTCCTCTACAATCTGATTGGTTCATTTTTCGTTCTTCCCTTAGAACATTTTTGTGTAAGTAACACTCCCACAAACTCACTGGTATAGTTCCCTCCATATTGTTTAGGGAAGAATCCAGTGAATGAAATCCGCTTACTTCGTTCATGACAGTAATTACTTTGGATGGTAGTTCGCATGCCTGGGTGCATTTTGGGATTGCTGTGCGTCAGTGCAAGAACTGCATTTACTGAGAACGTGAAGTCATCCCTTTTGACTCCTTTTGGCCTGTATTTTAATACCGGGTAGCTTCCTTAAACAATTAATTTAAAGCTTGTTACAACAGAAGGTAATAACTGCTTATGATTCATATCATTTCTACGTAATGTGTTTGTGTGCTTTTAGAATGGATGAAATATCGACTGCCAAGACATAGTAGCACGCTTTTGTGTAAGTGTGAACTCTTATTCCTCTGACTAATGCCTTTTGTTTATATGTGCCTTTTCTTGTTTATGGTCGGATTATTAAAAAAGAACCGTCTGCCAGTATTTTTGGGAGTCAGCATGGGTAGGATGATTGAAGGCACTTCACCAGCACACGGAATGGACTGGTCTCTCTGGCATTGACAAAAGTGCTTAGACTTCAGCAGAAACCCAGAGGAATCCAAATGAAGCCCAGAAAGGATTTTGAATCGTGCGATGGGTCTGGTATCCGAAGCCGTGGGATGAAAACATGTCTTTTTCAAACCTCAGTGACTCTCTTTCCCCTTACAAACCCTTCAACAATAAACATGGTGACTATCTGTGGTGTCTGCAGGCATTTGGGGCAAAACAAATTTAGGAATAATTCTGTTATATTTATACTTTTCAATGGATCAAAGTTATATAACGGTCTGGGAAGGAGTTTAGCTCCGTCTGGTTTTTCCATTTATCTGAGACTTTCTGGGTATCTGTGTTTTTCAGCTGAATTTAAAAACTTAATCTGTATGCATTTAAACGTCTGCATGAATTAAAGTTGTGAATTTGCCAAGCTGATTTGTAATTATGCTTAAAATAAGCATTACAGATGGAGATTTATCACCTGGGGGTGCAGGAAGAGGGTACACCCCAGTCAGGATGCCAGTCCATTGTCACTTGCATTCATATATTATGGGCAGCTTAAAATGCCAGTTAACCTCAACCAGGTATCTTTGTAGTGTGGCTGGAATGCGTGACATGAGGAGAGTATGCACACTGCACACTGCACACTGCACATGCTCAGGGTGGAGATTATATCCCCAGCCCTGGAGGTGCTGTCCCTCTTTCTAAGTGCCCGATTGCCAGCTTTTATAAAATATAAAGTATATGTGCATAAATCACTTATTGTGGTAGAATGGGTAATTGCCTTCCCAAGGTATAGTAGGTGCTGGTATAGCTTAGTCCACAGCTAGCAAGTCGTTTGATAAAGCGTGCACAAAATATTTTGTTTGTGTGTTTTTCAGCCTGTGGGGAAACTTGAGGTAAAGTCGCTGTTTCACATGTATGGACATCCAAACTCCTCACCCATAGAGCCATGGCAGAGCCTCGAACCCTGGCCCCAGAGGTGTGAGGCAACAGTGCTAACGTGTATGAGAGAAAAGCTAGAACTTTTTAGCAAAGGATTCTGCTTGTGCTGAAGGTCTGTGCCAACCTGGCAAACTAAAAGATGTTGTTTAAGTGTTTTCCTTGTTCCTCTGAGCCATCCGTCACACTGCTGGCTGGGTCCTCACTGGGTATGTGGTGACATTCACTGGTGTTAACGCCCCCCCCCATTCTAAAGTACAAACATATAGTCATTCGTTAACATAGCCCAGTGCCATCCATCCATTTTCTGTAACCGCTTATCCTGTTCAGGGTCATGGGGGTCTGGAGTCTATGGGCACAAGGCAGGGAACAACCCACCCACTGCAGGGCACACGCACACGCACACGCACACGCACGCACCCAGTTTGGTAACTCCAGTTACCTCCAGCACGTTTTTGGACTGTGGGGGTGAAACTGCAGTACCTGGGGGGAATCCCCATGACAGCATGGGGAGAACATGCCATGGCAGAAAGGTGAACCCTGGTCCCAGAGTTGTGAGCCAGCAGTACTAACCACTGTGCCGCTGTGTTGCCCCTATAGCTCTGGTTGATGTTCCGTTGTCCCGCCCCTCCCCCTCCCCCTCCCCCTTAATGGGTTACAGATAAATAGGCAACCACTTCTCCTGGTCAGGGTCCGTGGGCCCAAATCACAGTAACACACCACAGGCAATCTGGAGACACCAGTTAACCTAACTGCAAGTCTTTGGACTGTGGTGGGGGGGCACAGAGACTCCACACACACAGCTGAGGCAAGGTTGCAAACCCCCAACCCACATGTACCACACGCTGAGCCACTCACTGCATCCACCTTCTTAAAAAAAAGAAAGAATTTTCCACTGAATTGTGTTTGTGTTTATATATACATACATATATATATATATATGTATACATAATGTGCAAAATGTATATTTTACAAAATGCAGTTTGCATTGCAAATAAAAATATTTGATAATATGTGTATCAAGCAGTATAACTGTCCATCCATCTGTCTCTTTTCCAAACCCACAAGGGTCTGGACCCAAACCTGGATGCAATGAGAGCAAAGCACAGAATAACCCAGGGCAGGGTGTCAACCCATCGCAGACTATATAATTGTATAAAACCAAATATACAGCACTTCCATGAAATGTTTTACTTGACACAGTGTAATTATGTGGAAGAAAATCTGGACAGAGCAGTTATCTGCGAGAAGGGCTTGGCATTCAGTGACGGACCACCTAATATCCACTTATACTAACAGAGCGGAGTGGTCGTTGCTGTGTTTATTGGTGTTTCCGTTCATTATCTGTGTGTGTGTGCTGTATCGCGGACGATGGAGGTACATGCTTCCTGTTCGTGGGACTCGGCGCTGTTCAGCATGTGCAGGCACAGTGAGCGCGCCTGAAGGAGGACAAAATGGCCGCTGTTCTTTTTCGGCGCGTTCAGCTCTCGCTAGATAATTGCTGCCCGGGCTTCGGCGTCGCCCCTTAATCCACATGGAAGCGTGAGCTTGCCGTTTATCAGGCTTGGATTGCCGTGCCCGGAAATGGCATTGCCACCAGTCACACAAGTATCATCAGGGAATATTCACCGCGTACAGGGAAATGCAGAAATTAGCCAGGGGTCAGCCCTGCTTTTGCACTATTTTTATTTAAAATATTGTAGGGCTTGTGATGTGTACACTTCTCTCTACTTTTGTTTGTGCCTTTGGAAATAGAGGAATGTGACAATGGCCATTAAATTTGACTTTAGTGAAGGTTAGAGGGGTGCAGGCATTAAGCTGCTGTGATTAGCTCTGAGTGGTATTAACTGCCCAAAGCCCAACTCTGAGAGAAGGTCCTGCTCTATCAACAGCTATTGCCAGCTTCCTTTGTTTGCTAAATCCCACAAGAGGGCATTCGTTAGTCCCCTTCCATGCTGCTTTCTAGTAGCTGTCTAAATTGCCACACCGTAATATCCTATCTTCACAAAGTCATAGCAAGCCAATCCTGTTTTATTGCAGTATAATGTTCCAGAAAGTGGATGAGTGGAGCTATTTGTGTGTGTTGACTGCCCACCACGGCACCCCCACCTGACCAGGAGCATTATGGAAGCTGCCACACACTAAGACGAAGTCTCAGTTATGTCTTCTCACGTGGACATCAGATCAGTATTTGTTTTCCCAGCCGTCCTCACCAGTGATAACTGGACCTTCGCACATCTGCATGCTTTGCAAGGCCTGGTTGTCCTGGCAGCTCTGAGCCTCTCCCTCTCGGCCATGTTTCTGTCAGCGCTCACACTTGTCTCATGTTAGCATTAGCCGTCTGTTCAGATCTACAAAGCTGATGTCAGTGTGTCTGAATGTATCCTGAGATAAAGTATTATGGAAGGAGGGTGTCTGGTGCATGTGATGTCTCTCCGATTCTGTCCAGGGCTGTCAGCCTGAATGGGTCTTTCTCACCTCACCCATTGAAGAGGACACGTGTAAACACCTAAATAAGTACTTATGGCTGAGTGGTGTCTAATGTGATATTTTAATTTAGAAATACATTGTAAACAATAATAGACACACACACAAGAAAACATGAGGGGAAACACATTTTTTAGCTAAAAAAAGAAAAAAAACGTGAAAGCAAGGGGGAAAAAAACGATATGCGGATGATCTGCTAAACATTCGGTGTTAAAACTTGTCAACTGAGTCTCTGTGTAAAATGATGGGTTGGTGGGTCAGATTTAATTATGATTTAAAAACACTGCAGGCCGTCTCAAACCATCTAAAGCGGTGGTTCACAAACTCGTTACGTCAGGTCCTTACTCAGAACAATATACCGCGTAAGCGTTTTTGTTATTCTCACCGCACGAGGATTATCGTTTGATATTTTGTCTCTCGGTGCTATTCTATGCGGGGTGGGTTGTTGCAGAGTGCTGCTGGTGGCAGTTTAGTCATGCTCTTTCTTTTGTTTAGTTTTTAGATGTTTAATTAGACTGCTTGTGCTGTATGTTTCATGTCTCCTGTTGATAGTTCAGAAGTGTACAGTTTGCAGTTCGCTGTGCTTTTTGGTTGTTAGTTTGGAAGCACCTTCCACACCACAAGCCCTTGTGGTCCCATTTTGCTCATTAATGATATCGCTGATACGTTATCACTTGTTATGGATTACAGGTATCGGCACATTGTCACGAAGATGAGTGCATTCGCACTGTATTGGACCCAGTACTATTAATTTATTAACACAGCCCTAGATATGTGTCGTTTTATTAATTTTTATCAACCAATTTTGAGATCGCTTTTTTTTTCTCCTGAATGTTGCGTTGGTATCCAGACATTTTTCTGTCATTTGTCCTGTAGCTACCCGGAAAATGGAGTCGTGGAAATGTGCGCGAAATACGTCCGGCCCCGTGCTCGGACCCTGCTCAAATGGGATCAGCTGAAGCTGGGCCAGGTCGTCATGGTGAACTACAACATTGACGTCCCTGAGGAGAGGGGCTTCTGGTTCGATGCTGAGATCACGGCTCTAAATGAAATCTCCAGGACTAAGAAGGAGGTCCGGGCAAAACTCCTGCTGCGGTAAGAACAGTACTAACAAAGATCCAAGATGGCTGTATTCAGTTAAGAGCTAACATGTGAGAAAAGGTCAGCATTTAAAGGAAGGAAATGAGCATGTTCGTAGCTGCCAAATGCTGTCGTCCTTTCATATCCTAGCAGCAAAAATTCCTGCTCTATGGACGGGCCTATTTTGAAACATGGTTTGATTCATCCCTGCAGCTGATATTCAGCGATTCACCGTGTTTATGAGATGCTTTTCTCTAACCGTGTTGAAAAGTTCAGCTCTGTTTACGGGCGACACTCGCCGAGACGCTTGTTTATACTCTGTCTCGACTAAATGGTTTATGTGTCATTTTCAACTTCAGTTAACATAATTTACATAATGTAATAAGGGCACTGGGATCATTCCAGACCACTGAATATTTAACAGATACTTAATACTGAACACTCCGAGAAGGAATTAAATTGAAGTAATTTTCCGTCAGTTTTAATGGGCTAAAGTGTTAATATATTTTAAAAGTATGTGTTTATTATACATCTTATATAGATGTACAGTGAGTTTGTAATCCCCCCCTCCCCTAATAGGGATTGCTCCCACCCTATCATGAGCCTTACTGCCCCCCCTGCTCCCACCCTATCATGAGCCTTACTGCCCCCC